TATTTCAGCCACATTCATCAAGGAGTCCGTTAGGTATAGCCATAAATTAAAGTTGCAAACAATGTCAGGTCTATTAACTTGTAATCTTTGGCTTAATAGCATTCCCTAATTCTCACAAGATAACAATTTAGTGAATCAAGTTAGTTTAAAAGTCGTTTGCAATTACTCAAACTTCTAACCATTCCAGATGACCACAAATAAAGCTCGTTTGCTCGCAAACGAATGGTCGGGACCGTCTGTCGAATTGGCCCAACTCAGCTTATGTGAAGAATACCTCTTAAGTTGGCAAGGTGAGGTATAAACCTCCAGTGCGAATAAATGGAACATTCGTTTATAGAGATTTATAAAGCAGTCGGCTGAAACCTTGATTGATTTCGAAAGTTATTCAAAAATTACTAATTTTGTTATCAAACAAAAAAACGTTAAGGAAAGCGCAATATTATTTTTTTATTTTTTTTTTTACATTATTCGTAATATATTTTGGATAACTTCATCGCTCAAAATCGATAGACAATAAAAAAACAAATGGTTTTTGTATTAAATAATAGATAACGATTTATATCTTATCAAAAAAATCTCAAAGTATAAGCAGGGGTGTAGCGAGACCGTCGATAGTACAGGTTGCTTGTTATTAAATTATTATTGGATTAATTAAAGAAATATAGAGCAACGAAAAAAGTCAGCAAAGCTGCAGATTATTTGCTTATTCATTTCAAACAGACTGCCGATTTAAAAAAAAATATAAATATAAAATAATAATTCGACCACATGTCCTTTGATTTTTCTTTTATCATCCTCGTTTCCTTTTTTAATAAATATATTACGGTATGTTCTTTTTATAAAAACGAATTAGCTACTAAGTACAAATTTATCAAATTACGTTTGACTCTATTCATTTACAAAATTAATATATGTATATAGCAATTGAGGGTATGGAAAATCGGAAAATATATCTGGGAGTATTTGAGCCGTAAATAAGTATGCTGCAGTCAGTAATGCCCGACTGCAACGTATCTTTTTTTTTTTTTTTTTTTTTTTTTTTTTTTTTTTGGATATATTTATTAAGTGTAGAACCGGTACATCAAAAATAGAACCATAACAACACAGGGAAGGTAAATTAATAATAGAGCCGAACCCCATACCGAGTTATGGGGATTTTAAGTTGTGGAGGTTTTACTATTGTCCAATAGTTTTGGCAAAGCCTTGCCGTTTGAGTCTTCTTAGAGGTCTGGCAGGTAACAGTCCTCTTGCGAGTAGATTGCGGTGTCTCAACAGTCTGTCACTGTACCTGCTTGTGTGCCTGCCAATCTGCTCTTCGACAGTATGCAGCTTTAAATCTTTGTGTAGTGTGGATCCGCGTACATACCAGGGACAGTTTGTGATCTGTCGAAGTACTCTATTTTGCAGTACTTGGATTCTTTTATAGTTGGATTTGGCAGCAATCCCCCAAATCTGCACTCCATAAAGCCATATAGGCAAAATACAATGAACGTATACCGCTCGTTTGCATCTTAGCGGCAATGTGCTTTTTCTGTTGTTTAGCCACCGCAATTGCTGCAGTCTATGGCGACATTTCTTGGCTGCAGCTTTAAGGTGTGGCCCAAAGGTGAGGCGCTTGTCCAAAATGATGCCAAGGTATTTCACTTGCGACGGCTGTTCCAGGGCAACCCCTTCTAGGTGAATTGGAGGGGTCTGCATTGCTTTTTTGAGGGTGAAACATGGGTTTGTGGTTTTCAACGGATTAATTTTCATATTCCAACGTTTACACCATGCAGCAAGAGTTTCGAGATACCTTTGTAGGCCTGCACTGGCCTCTGCGCAACTTTTTGAGTTGTAAATAACTGCGATGTCATCGGCATATGTCGCAATAATAGCCTTGGCAGGATCATCCATATGCTCAGAGGTGGGGCTTGGTATATCCGAGATATATAAGGAAAAGAGCAGTGGACCTAGGACACTGCCTTGTGGCACACCTGCTCTCATTGTATAGGTGGCCGAGTATATGTCCTTTACCCTGACTTTAAATTCTCGTCCCTCCAAATATGACCTTAGAAGGCAGTAATATGGGGATGGTAAGAGGTTTTTTATTTTGCACAGCAGACCATCGTGCCATACCTTGTCAAATGCTTGCTGCATGTCAATGAAGGCAGCGTTTGAAAACTCCAGATCGTCATACGCCTGCATGATGTGCTTTACCAATCTATGGACCTGCTCCACCGTCCCGTGTCCCTCTCGAAAACCAAATTGGTGATCCGGCATAGTATTGCACTGGCTTATATTGGCGGAGATTCGATTTGCAATAGTTCTCTCCCATAACTTAGACAGAGAAGGTAGGAGACTTATTGGCCGATAAGACTCTGGATCCGTTTCTGGCTTGCCTGGCTTGTGTATCATTGTAATTGCTGCTAATTTCCATTGCTTTGGGAACACTTGCAGCCTGACGATAGCATTGAAAATTGAAACTATATAGAGTAGCGCTCTTACAGGCAGGGCCTTCAGCGTGGCATTGCAAATCCTGTCAATACCCGGAGCTTTGTTTTTTGGCAATGAACGTATAATTTCTGTTACTTCCTCAATCTCTATAGGCTTAATAGGCAAGGACATTTGTAGTGGGGTCTCTAGGCTTAGTTGAGTCTCTCTTCTCTGCTCTAAAGTGGCATATTCAAAGCTGCTGAAACGCTCCGCGAGATGGTATCCGAACGCATTGGCCTGCTCCCAATCATTTTTCGCAAGCTCACCATCGTGACATCTGACGGGGACTTGTCTGAAGGGTTGTTTCTTGAGCGATTTTGTGCATTTCCATAGAGAGTAGTTGGCATCAATTGTATAATCCATGGAAGCGAGTTTCTGCTCAAAGAAATCACTTCTGATTTCCCTTAGGAGGTAACGTAGCTCTCTTGCAGCTCGATTCCACAGAAGTCGGTCCCAAGTGCAACGTATCTACTTCTTTTTTTGTTCTTTGTTTAGTATGACAGTAGGCAGGGCAACAAAGTTCTAACAAATATTTTGGGTATCGTTCCTCCAAAATTCCATAGCACAGCTACGGGGGCATCGAGTCCTCGTTGCTTCGACTGTCAGTCGCCGACATAGGAAATTTTTGTGATTTATATCACAATTTACTGGCATTCGTTGGGCGCAGTAGCTCGCCGGCATTCGTTACTGCTCGGTTATTGAATTAGATGAGGTCGGGCGCTGACCGTGGGTTAGTCCTAGTGCCAGCTCTGTCGATGATAAATCAACGTGCTAACCAATTCCTTCGCTCGCTTTCGCCCTGTTGCTATCCCAAAGAACGACAACAATTGCTCACGTGTCTTCGGGTTAACAAAACGTAAGCCTTTTGTTTAGTGGCACGGTGCGCAGTTTTGTATTGTTTTCTTTTCTTCTTTTTTTTTTTTTTTTTCTTTATTATTATTATTTAGGAACCAGTCGGCTTCATAAATTGCCAACGCTTTTGTTTTCAAACGTTTCGCTTGAGTTATTTTTAATTTCATGGGTGCAATTTCTCAGTGTCAGTTGCTCTCCAGCCTGTCACTGGCAGAATGCCACTAAAGTTTTGAGGTGGGACTCAAGAGGGGGATGGAGAGAGAAAGAGCGAGGAGGAGACACAGCGAATGAGTGAGTTGAAGAATATGGCACTCATTAGCTGGTCACTTTCTTTTGTTTTGCGTATAAATATTTCATTTTAAAAGCGGCCCAAAAATTCATGCCGAATGCTTGTGCTGCTTGTGTGAAATTAAATTAGAGCCGCTTCAGTAATTAAGTAAGCCTCTTGTTGTACCCTTTCCAAGGTCAAATGCCAGTACAATGCCAACGCTCTAATGCCTCATAATCTCTACATATAGTAAACGTTCATTGAGTGGGGGCGAACAAATTAAATTTCCCTATACGTACAACATAAAACTGAATAATTCTTTACTGAAATCCTCTTTAGAACTTTAAATACAAGGAATGCTGCCGTTCTATGCAAATCTTATGAATGTCGCCAAATCAACACTATATTGAAGCTATATAACTGAACGAATGGGAGTAATATAAATAAAATAAATGTAAGAACCCTTTTTCTTATGTCCACTTGAATGTTTAAGGACTCATCAATCATGGCAGAGACACACAAAAACTTTAACTTTGCTCTGATCACTTCGCAAATGCAAGAATATTTTGCGAAAACAAAAAATTCTTCTACAGATGCCACAAATTTCGGAATCTTATGTTGGCATTGCAAAAGATTTATGGCCAAAGCACCAGGCTCGGAGCACATGTGAGCGCAGCAATTTACGTCGCAAGACAACAAACGAAAGCCATCAAAATCCCTGCCCGTATGGCAAAACAACAACAACAACGAATGCAAACAAACAAACAAATGTAGTTTTCAGTCGCATTTGACTGATTGTTGAAATGAGGCGCATGCACTGGAAAAAAAAAATGTGTTTATTGATTTTATGGATATGCACTTTAGGAGCTGTGCGCGCGCCTGTGGCTGTTCGCATGCCGCCGCCCATTGACATGCGTTTGATTGATTGCCCAAGAGGCAAGGAGCAGAGGGCCAAAACAATGGCCACAAGGAATTACACAACACACAACCAAGCATAACGCACCAAAAGCAACAACAAAACTATCAAACAATAAAAACATTTTCGGCTTATCTGGAGAGCACTTTAGCTTAGTTTATTTATTGCCCGCATGTTGCTCCACATTTTATGTGTCCCTAATAAACGTTACGTAGATAAATTGTTTGTAATTACCGTTGAAATGGCGAGAAAAATACCGACTTTATTTTAACCGATGTATAACAGTTATGCCAATAATAGAAGGTAGCAAGTGGTAAAAATACGTTATCTGTTCTCAATTATGGTTACTTCTATGTACAATTTAGGTAATTTTCGACCAAATGAGACCAACGAGTCCTGGAGCTTCACAAGGGCACTCCATGGCATAGGAGTTTTTGTAGATGAAATGAGAATTTTGTTTTGAGAAGCCATAAATAAAAGTGGAAGCTATAACTAGGCCGAAGGGCCGTGCCAGTTACAAACTAGATGTGCAATTAATAGATATATGGTTGACATCATCAACGTCGCCACTGTTATAGGAAAGCCGATCACGAAGAAACGTTTATACGTATATCGGTAGCCTTCTTGATGGGCCAATCCGGATGCTAGCACATTGGCTAAAGAACAAATTAGATTTGAATTTTCGCCGAAGGAAGAGCCGTAGGCGATGGACCACAGGAGCGGTGCAAAGGGCAAATTGCAGTCGACGCTCATGCTGATGGCCTCGTTGACCATCAATGTTTTCATCATCATGTTAGGCATAATGGCGGACTCAATGGCCGCCACCGCAGTTAACACTAAGATGCTGACGGCCAGCTGGCGGTCCTTTCTCGTATTGCTGACAATCTTGTGAATCGTCTTGATCGTCCAGTAATCGATACCCAGGTAGCGAATCGATTTGAATAGAACCATCAATGCAGCGAAGAATATTAAGGACCTCCAATCAATTCGCGCCAACAGTACGTCGAGCTCCTGCAGGTTGCCCAAGATGAGCAGCAGCACTGTGGCGAACAGTGCTATCCAGTTTGGTGTCAAATGGTGGAGATTGTTATCTATTGTGGGCAGGCAGAGGACAAATAGAACGGCCAGGGAAATACAGGAGCCGACGAGCAACGGAATATTCCTCACTATACAGTTGGCCTTCAAATCGGATAGGGTTGACGTGAAATCCACCTCCTCTCTCTCTCCGTTCTGTTCAATCTCAATCCTCCTCAGCTGCGTAATACGATTGTTCTGATACTGACTTAGATGAACACCGACTTTTTTCAATTTGTCGGCGCGAATTTGAAGCGATGTTATCGATCCAATTACTGTACTCCTGCTATATAAATATTTCTTAAGAAATCCGTAGAGCACTCCGTAGGCAACCGCCAAACTCAGAATCACGCCCGGAAATATGTGCAGAACATAGTTGCTATAGGTGATATGCTGCGCCTCGAGGAACGGAGCGATATCAAGCTTCAAAATCGAGTCCTTATTCAAAGGGGACAATACATTTCCGATGTTGGCGAACATCGTAATACTCATGAGGACAATTGTGGTGCACAGCGCCAATTTTTGACACAGCCGCAATGTAATCGGGCCCATTAGCAGTACCATTGTCACATTGTCGAGTATGGCGGAGAAGATCGCCGCGCAGGCGCACAGAATGAGGACGAGTAGCCAGGGCTTACCGCGTGAGGCCTCATATGTGATGGCGGCTATGAAATCAAAGACAACCGTCTCGTCCACAATTCTGACTATTAACATGAGGAAAAAGACATACATCAGGCAATCTAGGTGGATCAATTGCACGAATTCGGTCAATTGAGGACGCGCATTCATCATGCACAGCAGTCCGATTCCCCCCATGGAAGTGAGCAGGGCCACAAGTGCACGATCCGCCAGATCCCATATGATCAGCACATAAAAAAAAATAAGCAGCAATATTCCGCCCGCGACACCGACATGCGTGCTAACCGGGTTATAATTGACGACTACGAATAGGGCGAAGGCCCGATTGTGGTAATTTGTGAGTATTATATTGAGCTCGTAGTATTCCCCATGGCTTGTCGACTGATGGATTCCCTCCGATTGTTTTTTTTTGGTTTTGAGTGTGAACTGCTTACTTATCTTATAGCTCATGGCGTCCTGATCGGCGAGCAAGAAGAGGAACAACGTGTCGGATTCCAGTTCCGTCTCATTGGCCATCGCATTGAAGCTCTTGATTTTAACTTTGATATGAGGATCTAAATCGGTTGCCTGCTCGGGATTTGTGATTAGCCTCTTGTTGAGGGGACCGGAAAAGTTAATGTCTATATCACTTTGATGTGTTTTATCCCTCGACCTGATTACATACTTCCTGTACGGCAGCACTGGCACGAGAAAGGTACTTGGTACTTTCGGCGTAGTCGTGATAAGATATGCTGAAGAGTACAGCCAGACTGACAGAAACAAACAAAACTTGACAATGTTGCAAATCTTCCGGGGAAGCTTGTTGTTGTCTTCCGTGTCCACACGGTAGTTGCTGAAAGTGTGGCCAGCACTATCCATATATATAAATAGTGGCGTATATAGTTGACAATATAATGTTCTGATAGAGACCGCACATCCGATTTAGGTGATACCACTTCTTTTGTTAAATTCTAGCAGCTAGAAGATATATCTCCCATCTCACCTTCCTTAAACTATTCAATTTACGATCAATTATATTCATGGCAGCTTTTCAAATTTTCAACTCAATTAATGACTCAGAATTCAATGGCATATTACGATATGATATACTAATTTTAACTAATCACAAAAATGCAAAACAAAACTGAAACAAGAGTGCTCTTGTCCGAGTTTCTATCTCTTTTATCTTTTCTAATCGATAGACGGGCATGGCTCTATACGACAAGTATACCTTATGAGGTCGATCACGCCTCTTTCTGCCTTTTGCGTACATTTTTTTTAATAAATTCCAATTTTCACTGGGTCCAGGTAATAATGAGTATGGGATAGGATAGCCAGCAGACCATGCAGAAACCTAGTCTTAAGATAACTATAGAGCAAAAGAAACTGCTGTCTATCCCATATAGTAATTATAAATATTAATGTTCACGAAATATTTAGCATATAACACTAAGCCTTAAGCACATATATTCTTAGCTATGCGCGTTTGTTTGCCTATACATCTGTATATGTGTCTCTCTGTTTGTCTTTTTGTCCATCTCGCAGTCTGCCTCCTTAACAAAAGCAAGGGATGAAGAAGAACTAAATTTTCTTTATGTTTGCAGCAGTATTCACTTGGTATTTTAAACGAACCGAGAATGCTTGAAGCAGCTGATTGATTGAGCAGCAATTACTCCCATTGGTCGACAATCTCTACCTGGCAACGGGCTCTACATTTACGGTCAAGAGGGCTAAATCGACTCATCCTTCTGCCTGTTACATACTTTTCGCAAAACCATTATACCCTGATTTCCCATTTTCTGAACATTGCATGAAAGAAATTCATTTATAACTGAATTTTGATAAAGGGTTTGAAACAGTCCTCAATGCAGTGCATAAGATTGTTGCAAAATTAAATAAAATAAATGTATTAAGACCTTTTTTAAATTGAAAAAACTTATGCTTCTATTTGCCATATACACAAGACGCATGGATTTTATAAGCCTTCGCACTTTATAACGCCAGCTTTTTATTTATACTATTTATATTTATAAATTATCGATTTTGTAAAGCGCCCGTTCGTCCGCCTGTCCGTCTGTTTTTGAGAGGTATTGTCCATCGATCGAGATATGCAACACAATTCACGTTGCTTGAGAGACAACCATTTGACATGAATAGGAGCACAAGTTCTCATGGCCACTGGCCTCAGACCCATTGATGACAGCTTCCGCTTGCTGCCCACGCGCCTGAACGAGGGTAAGGGACAAGGCGTCAATGTCCAATAGATGCATATATGAGTTGCTGAACGTCACGGCTGCTCAAATTCGTTAACTATGTATTAATAAACATCCAATTATAATATTATTTATCAGCGAGCTTTCCTTGGGCCACTTCCGCATCTCGTGCTTATACGCCTACATTCCCACATTTTGTCATTGAAAAGTTTACTGGCTAAACGAAAATTATGAAGAAATGTTGAGCTATGGCAAGTTTCTGACGGACGAAGACAGAGATAGACCTCAGCCTAGTGCCATTGAAAAATTCCGTGGGCGATGAGCAGATAAAGCGAAGCAATGCTGTTCGTGATTATCATGATAGGAAAGCCATACTTGAAGAACTCGTAAAAGGTGATCTTATAGCCATGCTGGTTGGCAATGCTAGAGGCGGCCACATTTGCCGTAGTCGAATACAAGCTGCCGTTGCCGCCGAAGCATATCGCATAGGTGAGAGCCCATACCAATGGGACCAAGGGTATATTAATCCGCTCACTGAGGGCCACTTGGATGGTGAGCCTGAGCAGCATTGTGGCAATTGGAATGTTCTCGATGAAAATCGACAAGGCCGCGCTTATCCACAGGACAACCATAATGGATGTAACGACCTGATATTGCGGATCCACATTCGCAATTATGTTGATCGCTAACTCAGCCAGCCAATGGATCAGGCCCAGCTCCGCGCAGACCTCAATGAGCACGAACAGTGCGCTGAAGAACAACAGCATGGACCAGTCGATCCGCATGAACACGGCGGTAAGGTCCTGCGAATCGTAGAGTATCAGCAGCAGCATCGAGGCCATCAGAGCGGTCCAGGACAGTGTGGCGCCCGCAAAGAAGGGCAACGAGTGCAGCAACCACAGCACTATGGCAAATAAGAAGCAAATAGCACACTTGATTAGTAACGGCTTATCCTGCACCTTGTACTTGGACTCCATCATAGCGAGCGTTTCAATGTAGTTAGAGGCAGCCATGATTCGAAAAACTGTTGTTTCTGAATACTTTTTCGAACTTAACTTTGGATTGGCCAGGGGCATGGACATCATTGGTGGAGCTCGTCCCTCGCCCATTCGCTTGGCTAGGATTCTCAGTGAGTTATTCGTTTGCTCCTCGGCACCATGGGTCAGACTCTTGCGCAGTATCAGGTAAATGTACGTCCAAGCAGCGAAAAGGCTCAGCACCACGCCCGGGAACATATGAATGAAAAACATGCTGAAGTCGACGCCCTTGCTCATGACATGGGCGTTCGTCGCAATGAGGACAGTTGGTGGGTCCCCAATGGGCGTCAATGCGCAGCCAATGTTCGAGAAGATCGCCACACAGATCAGCACGGTGGTGGTGCGCAGGCTCATGCACTCGCACAGACGGATCACAACTGGCACCATAATCATCAGTATGGTGACCAGCTCCAGGAATCCGGCCAGTATTACGCTGATCAGGCAGAGGAGGCCCACGAGCAGCCAGGCACGACCCTTGGACAGGCGATAGGCCAGCACCGCGATATAGCCAAAGACGCCGGTCTCCGATATAATGCTCACTATTATCATCATGCCAAAAAGCAGCGCCAGCGTGTGAATATCGATCCATGACAATATTTTTCTCATCGATGGCAGTTCATCAAAGATACACAGCACTCCTATCGCGCACGATGTGATGAGGACGGCGGCAAACGTGGGATCCGTAATATCCAAGATGATAACTGCATACAGAGAGCAAAGCAATATACCTGCTGCGACTACGCCGTATACCAACTCCACCGGACTGATATTAGTTTTGATTTTGAGTGCAAATATATCATTGATGGAATTCTTTAATATCACCTGAATTTTATATTGGTCGCCTGCGGATAACGCCGCGATATCTGGGGTATCTGGGTATTGGGGTGTCAACTTAAACAATTTTTGCACATTAGCTAAATGCGAACGTCGCTGCGCATATTTCATCAAATAGACGGTCCAATTTTCCGATAACTGTTCCGTCCGGTTCAAATTAATATTGAAAATTCGCACTCTAATTGACAAATATTTTTGGGAATCTGCTGCCAGGCGTGGATAATTGGTGACCTCCTTATCGAAATTTCCATTCAACATAACCTTTATTTTATTGTTTTTTAGCTTTCCCGTGACATCCAAATACTTTATTGATTTCTGCTCTAAGGCCACAACTCTTTCCTGCACAACCGTTCTTGACGTAATACACATATTAACCACAAAGAATATCCACATGATAAGAAATATGACCATCTTTATGATTAAGGCTATATAACGCCGAATGCGACGGCGACGCTCTTGCTCTGGAGTTAATTCGAGCTCTTCATCGTCAAAATACGAGCCACGCCTCTTATATGTACCACTGGTATCCATATTTCACTGGATCCACCTATAAAGATATAAAAAGTACAGATAGAAATTAGAATTTTAGAGATTATAAACCGGTGTACAACAAACCCTATCATAGACTTTCTAGTTCTTGATTTGTAAACTGACATTTTCTTTTTCTATTTTCCAAATGACTACTATAAAATAGTTACTCAGCGTCACTTAACGTCATAAATATGAGATAGCTGGCTATCCATACATGAACTGAAACCAGTAAGAAGACTCCAGTCGAGACTGCTCGACTAGGAGATACCCTGAACCCTCTAAGCAGATATTCGACTCATTCTGCACTTCTTTTATGCACACATGCATACACACGCATCCACACGCACGTATATCACGCGCTCTGCTGCATTGCGGTGTGGGCAATATTATGAGAATTTATTATTTGAATAATTTCTCTTATAGAGCGTGATCAAAAGGTTGTACAAAGTTCACAAATCTCTAAAAAAAAAAAAAAAAAAAAAAAAAATCTATTTTTCGATTATTCTCGATAAAAAGATTATCGGGTGACTTATCGAAAAAAATTCGATAAACGTGTACTGCGTATGGTATACACGAGAATGCAGGCCAAATTTCAGCTCTCTAGCTCTTATATCTTCTGAGATCGGCTTGCTTATACGGACGGACGGACGGACAGACGAACATGACTATATCGACTAAGCTCGTCATCCTGATGAAGAATATATATACTTTATGGGGTCTGCGATGATTCCTTCTGCCTGTTACATACTTTTCACAAAACCATTATACCCTGATTTCCTATTTTCAATGGGTTCAGGGTATAAAAAACCATTTTACCCTGATTTCCCATTTTCAATGGGTTCAGGGTATAACTAACTTTCAAGGTATAACTATTTACTTTAAAACCATCAATTAAAAGCCTTATTGAGCCTTTTATGAGGAATATATATCATTTATATATGTAATACCGACTCCGTATATCAATTTAATCAGGCTAATTTGAATTTTGAATTTGAAGTAAAGAGCTCATCAAATAATTCGATTCCACATAATTCTCATATTCAGACTAATTCGAGGCCTGAATGAACTTGTGGCAGTCTTCGCTTCAGTCTAGCCAATTAAATTATGTTTATCTCGCGTTGGTTTATTATTAAATCAGCATGCAATAAGGTCTCGTCCCTACACACACACACACGTACAGAGAAAGCATGGGCCACCATGCACAGCAACTCCGATGTGTATCGCACATAATTCATCGTCATCGGTTTGCTACGTTATGAATTAAATTTCAATATGCTTCAACGTGCTCATCATTTATTAAAGACACTCCACTGAAATGCCAATAAGATGAGCAACAGCAGCAACAGCAAGTCCTTGGCGAATACCTTTGCTGCAGCCGCTGCTTCAGAGGAAGCTGAAATTCTGTTGAGAGCGTGGCGCAGCGTCGATTGCAATTTCCGTTTGTCACATTTCTCTAAATGGAAATTTATGCAGCTGGCTCACTTTTGATTCCCAGCAAGCACAAGGACTATCAGGCAGTTTGTTCATACCACCTGCCTACCCACTTGCCAACCTGCCAACCTGCCCACCTGCCCACCTCCCCACTTGCTCGTTTGCCCGCTTGACTGTCTGGGTAGTTAATGCTTTATTCACGCTCGAATGCCTAATGAAAGAGTCATTACACTCATTCATTCGTTCATTCATTCGTTGATTCGTTCATTCGTTCGCGTTGTTTCCTGATTCATTCATGAGAACACGTGTGCTTTGTTCTTTTTATCCCGCACCTAATTAATTGATTTTCACTGTCCCGACTTTAGCGAGGACTGCATTAATCATACGCCCTGTTAACCCACACCAAAACATAATTAAGTGAATACAGGCCTTTCCCTGCGGCTGTTAACTATTTGCAAAAGTTCGATTCCGCAGTGGGGGCAAGGGAAAATATGTAGATTGACAGAAGGGAAAAGAGAAGGAAAACTAATAGAAAGTAGCTATATATATACGCTTTACGAACTAAAGGGTAATCCAAAATTGAGAGAGAAGTAATGTTTCAGCGACTGAGCACTTTTAGCAAAAAGCTGATATTCCAATAATTGATACCCTTTCATTTCTGCATATATAAGAATCAACGCATGCACACACATACACACACGGATATACCAAAGTTTGGTCTACATCGGTATCCAAAATAAAAAAAAAATAAATAAAATAAAAAAATAAAAATAATAAGTAAGAAAGCTGTAGTCGAGATTGCCCGACTACGAGATCCCCTGAACCCTTCGAGCAATAGCTGTTTCAATCATTTTTCGCGTCTTTCTGCTTACACAAGACACACACACGCACACACACACACGCATACACACACAGGCATACACACACATATACACACACATCATACGCACACACACACACGCACACACAGAGGTATGCACGCACGCATAAACACGCATTGGCTGCAGTGGTGGCTTAATAAGGGAACCTAATTGTTCAATAACTTTTCTTGTGGATGTACTTTCTTCATGAAACTTTCCATTTATGATTATATCATGGATATGCACGTATTTGCCCACAAGTCTCTAGTATTTGAAATACGCCTTTTACAAATGTGAGGGTGAGGGGGTAAATTAGGGGTGGGGGTAAATTTTGACAAAAACCGAAATTGTATAAAATGCATATAAGTATACATTTAAAAATTTGGAGACTCTAGCTTTAATGATGTAGGAGATATAAATGTATTACTGGTTTTCCATAATGATTTTAATTGATAACAAAATAACGGGGCAATTTATCGATATTTAAAGCAAAACTCGATATGCGCGTGCTATACACGGACCTAGGAAAAAAATTTCAAGTCTCTAGCTCGACACGTTCAAACATACGGACAGACGGACGGACGGACAGACGGACGGATGGACAGACGGAGAGGGCTAAATTGACTCAGCTCGTCGCCCTGATCAATAATATATATAGTTTGTGGGGTCTGCCTCCTTTTGCCTGTTACATACATTTAACAAAACCATTATACCCTGATTTCCCATTGAACATGGGATCAGGGTATAAAAATAGTATAAAATATACATAAAACTAAATGCAATATTTAGAGATTGTAGCCCTTCATATGAAAGAGATATAATAAGTAAACTGAATTTCAATCCGGGTTTTAATTCCCCATTCGCGCACACAGCTAACTTCTGTACATAACTTCAGCACAAATCTACCAGTTTGGTAGATTTTTATTGGACATTATAACGGATTAGTTGTTGATCTATGAAACAAGATCGACTCCGAGGCTGATCTAGAATATGCAAATCAATCCATATTTGACGAACCTATCTAGAACCCTGTCAAATCTAAAGAGCTGCAATAGGTAAATTCGTCCTTCGTATACAAAGTCTGCATTCAAGAATATTTGGCCGTGACCTGGTAGAGAGCGACCATATTTTATTTTACAGTTATATACATAGCAATTGGATATACACAGAGAAAAGGCGTGCATATATACCAAAATACATGCATACATTCATTCATATAATATATACATACATACATACATACATACATAGACGCCTCTACTACGATTTTCCAACTATGTATATCTATTGGAGGTGGAGTCGATAATGGCATTTAATATTTATGGAAGCTCGAAGAGTAAAATATAATATTGATAATTGATTAATATTATTTATTTAAGATGCAGGAAACATAATTCAGCTCGGCAACAAGCTAGCCCGACGTCGCGACGTATATAAATTATGCATGATTTATGCATCTGGCATCGACTATCGTATGCGCGATGTATGAGCACGCGAGCCGATATCATACGAATAAAAGCTATTGTATTTGCGTATATACATATGTGTGCACATAGATTATATAATGACAAGCTGTGTTTACCGAATACAATCAGAAGGAGGCTGCTGCTGCTGCTGCTGCTGCCATCAGGACTTTGCCAAGTCCTGCGAATCAATTAAAGTAGCTTTTTGGCCAGGGCTTTGCCTTTGACATTTGCAGCTTAGTTGGCCCGCCTCTGACAACTTGACAGTTTTATTGTTGGCCATTTACCAGTGGCCTGACCTCTGTGCTCGGATATCCGCGCGGCAGATAACGCTTAATAAGGCATTAAATAAATAAATAATTGTTTTGCACCAAGTCAAGTTCAACAAATGCCAATAAATTGGCAACTACAAGCACAACAAGCCAGGTTATAATCAAAATAATCAAAATAAAATCATATAAGAAAAAACAAATTAATGTCGTTAAATGAAACAGCTTCTCTGTTCACGAATGCTAGTATATATGCCATCAATATGTATAAAACCAATCAATGAAAATTTTGCAAATAATTTACACTCCCTAAACCTGAGGAAATATATCTAAAACAGAGCCCATAGGCAAGTCCAGGTGATATGTGTATATAAATCTATTATAGCTTGAATTCAATTGAAAATTAATTTAATGTTTCTACCTTCAATACAATAGAATTAGAATATATGATTTCTATAGATAAGCTAAGATAAGAGGTCTTCAAGATGTAGATGTATGTTTCAAACCTAAAGTTTGTAAAAGACTTTCACTGAATTCATTCATTATTCATTTCATCTAATTGCTTTATTCTCTATATAAAGTAAAGGTACACTTGATAAATGCATATGATATACATAGCTCGAAGACTAATGCTAAATGCAGAGCACTTTCGGCTATTTATTTTGATTTCTTTTTTAGCTGCTGAAGTATTTCCCGTTTCGTTTATTGAACCGTAGCTCGACCTGCATAACCTGTGTTGAACCCGGAGGTGAACTGGCGATGTCTTAGTTTTTTCTCGTTGTGCACGCGCAGTGCTATCAAACAGCTCTGGAGGTAGAGGAATTATTAGTATTAGCGAGTTATATAACAGCATGGGCCGGTTCTAATTGCACTTACAATCGAGCAGCAAAGCGTAATCATGAATACAAAAAACGAGCTAATGAGCAGGGCGCCGCGACACTGCGACGTCAAATCGATTAGAAGGCCCACCTTTTTGTTCACCTGCCCGGGCATTATAACGGTGTACTCTATGTTCTCTTTGAAGCGCTTGAACTCCGAGGCAGCAGTGGAATTCCCAGCTCGTTGCATCATGGGACCGTTCACTGTAGTTGTATTTGCTGTAGATTCCGTTGCCGATTCAATCTGTCGTCGCTTGCGGCCGTGGCCCGAGGGTTCGTAGAGATCGACGCAGAAGTCGGGCGTGCAGTCGGCCATGTCGATGCAGGCCTTGATCTGCGAGTGTATCCAGAGAGTGGCCTTCTCCTTCATCGAGCTGAGCAAAAAGGCCTCAAAGTCGAGAAACACCTCGTTGGGTCGATCCCGATATTTGGCCGGCTGATGGGGAATAATTGTGGCCAGCTCCCGATTGCGGCAACCGTTGTGCACCAGGGAAACAGAGCCCGTTGCAAGTGGATTCTCTGATTGATAATGCGACGATAGAAGAATCATGCACACCTAAAGACACCTGCCACTTACCCGGATCTGGCGACACAGTCACCTCCATCAGCTTCACATACTTCCACACCGACTGGCTGATGCGTGCTCGCAGCTGCAGCTTGGTGCCCAGGGGCACGGCCTGATCCACGGCCTGATCGTTGTCGGCCAGCAGAGAGGCCGGATCATTCGAGGAACTGACTGGGTTGTTCGTGCCGCTGACACGTGCTATGGGCGGCGCCTCCTTATACAGCGCGACCTCATACTCCAATCTATTCGGCATCTCCTCAACTATGCCCGACACACGTGCGCCATGTGGACTGCAACGAAATATAGATATATAAATATAAATACCAGTAACAAAGATTCTGCCAAAGCTCTACACACAACGAGCCCGCGAATCCAGCCGCCTTATTCCCTATTACTGTTGGCTCTGGCGGCTTGCACATGATGATTAGCTCCTGGTCCGATTGCATCACAACGCCAGGAAATTGGGGAAACCAAATGCGAACGTGAACGAAGCCCTGCAAATGAGAATTATATTCAATTTATGAAGTAGACGAAGGAGTCTTCAGTAACTTGATATGCGCTTAGCAGTAATCCAGCTATCAGTGTATAATATATACTGGGGATGACAGCAAAAGAATAAAAAGATATGGCGGAAATATCTACTCCCATTAAGGGGTGGCTGATTGTATTGTAACTGTATTTTTTACTTATTTAAAGCCAGAACTCTCTCTTCATTTTCATAAAAAGAATATACGCATATATATACATATATAGATATTGCGTGGAAAATGGAAAAATGGATCTGTGTTATGAACCGTGCATGAGTATTCTGCAGTCGGGAATGCCCACTACAACGTTCTCGCTTGTTTAGTTTCTAACTAGAAAGTTGGTATAGGCAAAAGATCTAAACACTATATATTGAGGCGGCAGCCGCATAAATATTCACGATTTATTTTGTCTCTTTACGACGTAATTCATAAAGAGGGACAGACGACGATATGGACATTACAAAAAGCCAATATACTCTTTTCAATCAATCAAAAATCTACATACGTTTCTTTTGAGCACACCACATTGCGTAAAGTCGTTGATTCTTAATTGATATGTGCGCTCGTCCATATCGGTAATATCCTTTGAAATCAGACAATGCGGATTCAAGTCCTTGAGGCCACTTCGATCATCCGCAAACATGGGCACGCCTTTAAATCCAGCTGGCCTCTTCAGCGTGGCCGTTATCAGATCCTCACTTTTCGAGCCCGAGTTGGAAAATGTGCATTGAACATCAGCGACTGTTCAATGAAATAAATGTAATTATTATATTATGCGTTTTATTCAACTTACCTTCATAATCCTGGGCAGTGCAGAAGCATGGAACAACCTAGGGCAAAGTAGGTTATTGAAAGGGTTATTAAGAAAGTTAGACTCCAATGGGAAGTTTGTAAAAGACTACAGTCCAACTAAAAAACTATTTAATCTAAAGAGGGGCACTTGAATATTTGTTGTGGACTTAAAGTCATTAAGTTAATCAACATTATGCCAATATAATCCTTGTATTTATAACGCACAAGCGTACCTACCATTAATATCATAATTCTTATGAAGTGGTGTAACATTTTTATTAAACAAAAAACGAAAACTGATTTGGAAATATTTGAGGAGCGCTTTAAACCACATCCAATCGGTTTAAAAGTAAATTGCAGAATGAAACTAGAGTAGCAGTTGGTAAGATGCAATTACCTTGATCTTGGCTGCGTGAATTCTAGTTCAATACAATTGCAACATTTACGTAGCATATGTGCAAAGCCACACACAAACGCCCATATATCAAGCCAAACAAACAAAGTAGCAAAAAAAGTCTATGTGGCGCGCTTCAGCGGTCACAGTGGTGGAAAAGATATTAGTACTGATTGCCACTTTGTATTTGCTGCAATTTTAGGGCAAATTTTGCAACATATCAAGAATACATACATTGCCGATATTTAAACAATTGGAAATAAATAAAAATAAATTATTTTCTTTCAAGCAGTGTTGTTAATACATAGAGTACATATGTATGTATGTATATTATGTCGTATGTCGGCAGTCAGCATACAGTAGTGGCCCAGCTAGCAGAGCATAGCAAAACTTCTGTCTTCCGAATTAAAAAAAAAAAATCAAAGTTAATAAAATGATAAAATATACTATAAGTCAAGCCCTGCATGTAAACAATATATACTCAATTACTTATTCAAATAACAATTTTTTAACTGTATTTCTTAAAATTTGCACATCAGCTGTTCTTTGCGGGCTATCGATATTTACTATCGATTACGAATGGAGTGAGTGTTTTCTATAAGTGCTATCACATACGTATATGTAATTTCTTTTGGTTTTTTTTTTTTGTTTTTCCTTTATTGCTTACGAAATATCTAATAACTGAGCAGTCTGTGTTATAAATTATTGTTTAAGCTATGATTTTTACTGCCTAGGGAGGGACACATCTCAGCCTCATAAAACCAGCTGTTTTGCGGATTTTGCGATTCAGTTTGATAAAAAAAAAAGAGAAACAACACCAGCGAGGGAATTATGTTCAGGAACGCCGGCAGTCGATTATTTCGTGGTTTACACGTAAGTGAAATCTGCTACAACTGAAACATAAATAATTGGTAATTCACCCCCACGTTGATTCAGAGGCAGTGCAATACGACCGCGCAGCATGTGAGGGGTATAAATCTGATACCCATGGTTGTTGAACAGACGGGCAGAGGAGAGCGGGCATATGATATATTCTCTCGTCTCTTGAAGGAGCGTATCATTTGTCTTATGGGCAACATTACAGATGATATCAGCTCTACGGTCGTTGCTCAGTTGCTCTTTCTGCAGTCAGAAAATGTCAACAAGCCCATTCATTTGTATATCAATTCACCCGGTGGCGTGGTTACGGCAGGTCTTGCAATCTATGACACGATGCAGTATGTGAAGCCGCCAATAGCGACGTGGTGTGTGGGCCAGGCTTGTTCTATGGGCTCCCTACTGCTGGCAGCTGGAGCACCTGGCATGCGTTACTCCTTGCCGAATGCACGCATCATGATACATCAGCCGTCCGGAGGAGCTCAGGTAAAGTCGACTAGCTTTTAGGTCTAAAGATTCTATCTGTTAATTGAATCGGTCTTGTTTTTCAGGGTCAAGCCACGGACATACTTATACATGCGGAGGAGATCATCAAGATAAAGCGTCAACTAACGAATATATATGTGAAGCATGCGAAAAATTCCTACGACGAGATGTGTTCGCGTATGGAGCGTGACCATTTCATGACCCCAGAGGAGGCCAAGACCCTAGGCATAATTGATCATGTGCTTGAGCATCCACCAGAGACGGTTTCAGATAGTGGGCCAACATCTGATGGCGGACCAGCAACAGGCAAGCTAATCTCCGAAGCAAATACAGAGAAGAAGAGATCCAAACAGTCGGGCTAATTTATAGAATTTTTGAAATTCCGAAGAAAATCTGAATTTTTGAATTGTAACTCATTGGTTAGGTCACATTAAAAATTCTTAGAATATTCAGGAATTCAGTTGCCTTTCAAATTTCTAAATTAACGATCATTTAAATATGTTGCTGCTTGCGACAAACAACAATTTAGTTATAATAATGTAAATATAAATAAATAATTGAACATCAGAAGAGTCTAGAAAACAATAGAACTAACATTGACTTCCGTTTGATACTTTTCAAAGAAAATTTAAATTAGAAATTGTAATTTGTTAACAAGAAATCTTTAAAATACAAATTTCAAAATCCATTTTTCATGAAAAATTTTATTTAAATGCTGATTCATTTCATACTGCGCGCCTATGTAAATGTTGGAATATATATCCTTTATCATAATAGAGTATATATATTTCAAATCATTTGGAGCAGTATTACAAATCGGTTTATTGCTTAGTTAAAAAAAACTAATGGCTGTATCAGATATAGACGATACAATTTTGTGTTCACACATGCTTATTACATTATTTATCAATAAAATTATAATATTCATAGAACAGCGCGCGCTATCAAAACACAATATTTAAGTCTGGTCCATGGCAATGTCTGAATTGCCAGTAATGGAATCCTTCTGCACATAATCATAGATTTTACACAGTTCCGGAGTCTCCTTAATTGACTTTAAAAAGTCTAGTAACTGCTGGTTTTTGTCTGCAAGCAGATTTTAAGAATTAATTGTAATGTACTTGAAGATATCACTTATTTTAGATAGTACTCACTTGCTTTGGGTATTTGTGAGAGCGCAGATACCGCTCGTAGAGCGGAGCGCTTGAGTTCGTCTTGTTTCTCGTACTCTTGCTTCACCGAATTGGCCTTTACCTTGTGGGTGCAAGTGTCGCGTAGCTGTTGCACAAATTGATCCAGACCTATTTAAAAAAAAATATATTTAGCAGAGGTTTTTTTGAAAAGCACTAAAAGATCGATCACATACGCAACAAAACCTTATCGGGGCACAAAACTGCCAGACGCGCTGTCATGAGGTACGTCAACATTTTAATATCATAATGATCACTTAGGCCAGCCTGAACGTGATCCATGAACTGCATAATGTCCACACGGTCCAATCCCTGTTCGAGCAAAGTGTACATGCATTCGAATGCTGCTTTTCGTATATCCAATCCATCATCAACAGTGTGTTTAAACGGGCCCATTTCGACTTCACGTATGAGCTCGCTCTTGACCTTTGTCTCAGAATACAGCCAAGGCAAAAGTGTGGGTAGCAAATCGCGAACCAAGCTCGGCTTATTGTGCACAGCCGAATTGAAGGCTACCAGAGCGACGCGACGTACTTGCGGATCCGGATCGCGAAGTGCGAAGAGAAATTCACCAATGCTCTGCTTTAGTAGAATGTCAATTGGCTGCGGCTGGTCGGATATGGTGAATTTAACGGAGGATACGACAACGGTGCGCATAGTAGCACTTTCAGAACGGAGAGCTTGCTGTAATTGAGGCAACAACTCCTCTGGATTGACAAGCACAAGCTTTCCCAAGCACTCGGCTACCACGTTGCGTGAACCTTCCTCTGAGCACTCGCAATGCTTGAATAATTGCGCCCATATCGACGGCACCGATGGGAGCAGCTGCGCTAGACCGTTGGGTGTAACAGAGAGCGATGAAATCACCTCCTTCAATGAGTGGAGCAATAAATATTGTCGCTTGGGCTGAGCCTCGATCTCCTTCAAAATGAGCGGCAAATATGTTTGCAGGCTGCCCACAGAGACGGCGCCCAGAGCATGCGAAGCTGCCGCTTTCACATCCTCGGATGTGGCTCCGAAGCATTCAATGATTGTCTGTGGCAGCACTTGAATGGAGCTCAAATCGAAATGTCTGCCGATTTCACCTATTGTCAGCAAGCAGAATATGATCTGGGTATCCTTGTTGCTACGCTTCTGTAGCTCAGACATCAATTGGGTGGCCAATGGAGTCGCCACCTGTGGGCACTGCTGTGTCAGGGCCGCAATGCACTTGGCCGATGAATGATATGCCTGCTTGTGCAGCTGCAGCTGCTCATTGGGATTCCTGGCTGAGGGATCGCTGCCCTTCAGGACGGGCTCCATTAGCTTAGACACCAGCGAGTGATAGTCTAAGCCAGTGAGCTGTGCCTGCACAAGAGCTTGGAATAGATCCAAAGTGCATTGTAATGCAGTGCCCTGAAAGCGATTACAATTACTATTCCGACTATATAAAGAGCTACTGACTCACCTGCAACAAGGGCGAGCGCACTAGAATCAACACCGACGGCAAGAATTTCTCGTGTATGCCAACCAAAGCTTGCGGCTGGCGACGAGCCGTTGTACTCAGTAGAGTGAGCGAGTATTGAGCCACATGAAGATCGGAGTCAGAGATCAATCCCGGTATTTCGACAATAGCAGACTGCAGAACACTTGGCTCAAAGTTCGACGAGTAGTTGATGACGATCTTATTAATAAGATCCAAGGAGTGCAACTTCAAGGCACGATGATTCTTACGCAGGAAGGTGCCCAGGGTGGGCAGGACTTCGTGAAGGATGGGCGAGAGGTCAATGCGCAGTGGAGAAGCTGCAATCATTGTCAGAGCCTTCACGCTGCTTAATCGTGTGACTTCGTTCTTTAAACGTTCCATAAATATGGGCAGACAAACATCCAGTTCACTCTGCAGCAAATCACCCATATTGGCAATGATTTGACCCATGCAGGCGATGGCGCGCTCCTTCACCTCCTGATCGACATCGGTGACCTTCAGTTTCTGCAGGGTACATGCATACACCTGACCCACAAAAGGGGTAACATCGAAGTCAGACTTGACTGCATTGGCGCCCAAAGGACGAACCACCTTGACTAGCTGCTGCAGCACTAACAGCGCCTCTGTGGCAATCTTGTAGAACGGGTCGAACACCGACGTTACCACCAGGGGCACCAGCAATGGAATATGTGGATGAAAAACATGTGGCTGATGACCCTGCAACAAAGAGCAGAGGAAGCCCAGAGACTCGATTTTCATGTTGCTCGTGGAGCCCTTGTCGTTCAGCGAATAGCTAATGCCCGGCACGATGCTGTCTAAATGGGGGCCAAGGGCGCCTGGCAGGCTATTCAAAAGCTCGCGCAGTAACAGGAAACAATCCTGACGTGTTTTCATCGACTTCTCTCGCATTAGCGGCTGGATTGCTTTGATGATCTGCGGCAGCTGCTCGATTAGCAGCAGAGTCGGTCCAGATACCTGATCCATGGAGTCCGGATCATGGGCCATATCGTCTGCAGGACGTGTGTTACGCAGCAGTGCAACGTATGCATGAAATATATCAGATTTAACATTCTCTTCGCGCTCCTTAAAGCGAGCTATCAATGCTGGACTCAGTGTACGATAAAATTCCTCAAGCAGTTCGTGACGTGTAGCAATCAGAACTTCAAGACATTTAGCAGCGGCACGACGAACTTTCCAGCTCATATCGTCGTCATCGCTGTATTCCTCGCTGTCCACATATTCATCCTCTTCGGTGTCCATGGCAACGCCTGTTTCACCGTCATCGGCCTCATAGTTGTAGTTGGGATCGTATGTGACGTACTTCAGGCACAATTCGAGTATCTGAATTCGAAACAAATTAAATTAGCTATCAATTCCAATTGACTGGGATGTGGCATGACACACCATGGGAATATGTGGAGTAATAGCGTCTGGGCAACGCAGCACAAATGCCTCACAGGCTTGAAGACAAAACTCACGCAACTCATCATCATCCCGTTGGCTATATTGCTTCAACAAGATCATCGAACGGTCAATATGATTGCACAAGCGATGACCAGCCTGACGACTAGCGGTAAAGCGGTAAAGAAATATGTTAAAATTCTGCACTGCTTTCTTGATCCATAATCAATAAAAATACCAAATAGAGGCCAAGCATTGTATGTATGTGCGCACAGCCCCAGGATTCTGTGGATTCTCCAGACCCTCCAGAAGATGATCGACCACTCCATTGTAAGCATTGCTATTCGCCTGTACCAAGAGCACAGAAAGCGCCACAATTGTGCGTTTGCGTACAGCTTGACGAGGGGACGCCAGCTGTGGATTTAGAGCCTTTAATATGGTGCTATGGAAGGGCACCAGGAACTCTCCAAAGCGTGAAAGCAAGTCCGACAATATGTCCAGCGACTCCAACTTAACTGAAACATCCTCCTGCAAGGGAATTGTTTTACCACAGCTCATATGTATATGCTACAAAATTTGTGCTCACCTTCTCAATGGCGATACTAAGTTTGCCTGTTATGCGCTGGCATACATTGGGGGCCAGCGAATTTGAGGACTGTGGCAACTCAGCAATGACAGTTTTTAGGCCAATGCTTGAGATATCGCGCAGCTGTTCCACGTTGGACATCATGTTGCCACATAGCGAGTCGACAATTGTCTCTACTTGATTCTCCTTTACTTTATTGACCAATGGACCGAGACATTTCACAGCCAAATTCTGCACTTCTCCGTTTTTATCCTCGAGTAACTTAAGCACCATACGAACCACCTTTTTCTCCGACTCATCGTCCAGTATAATACTGTCCTTTTGCAGCTCCGTCATTAAATCATTTGTTGCCATGAATCGAAAGTCCTTGTCCGTAGATGTCATCTACATAAAATGCATATGCATATATTAACGTGTTGCTTACCTACGGTTTAATGCATATTCTATACATACTTTTTCCAGCAAATTTGCGATTTGATGATATTGATGCGACGCCATGATCTATATATTTGCTTCAACGGTGTGTATATAAATATATAAATAAATATATATTTATAGATCAATGGAATTATGTACACGGTAGCCGATTATCAATATTGTGACCGTCTCACAAGTTATGTTTTGTCTTAGACAAAATAATAGGTCTACTCAATTTTTTTTTTCCGGCACAAAAATTTGCGTGTTGGAACTGGAAAATGCATAAGTAAAATGATATTATCGATATGCCTGCCTGTTTGATGTGCGATAGTATATCGTGTTGTATCGGCTATTTCTATTCGATAACAATGGGTCCCCGTTATAACATTGCTCGATT